CCACACAGTCGTACGCACAACAGGAAAAGAGGCAAATACAAGGAAAAAATAATATAATGACGCAACAATTACCCATTAAGACGGCGGCGACCCTGAATCAGGTAAATGCGGCAGTTGACGGCAGAGCTCCTTGCCCACAGCGTGGCTTAGTTGATTCCCTTCCGCAATAGAATCGTGCGCCTTCAAGCTCTTCAACTGGTGTCCCTTCGCCACGGCTCTAGACTCCGTCGATTCCTCCGCTCGTTCGCGCGAGGAGCCTATGTAATTGTGGGTGCTGTGTGTGAGAAAAGGAGAGGAACTCGATTTCTGAAAATAACCGCGAGATATGAACAGAGGGTTAGCGCCGCCGCGTGGATTCCCGGAGCTGCTCGTTGCTCTCTATCGATGGGTCACCGTAGATCTATGCTGCAAGAGCCTGTCGTACGGAGGGAGAACTGGGGTAAATCGTTGGGAGAAAAAGAAGAAAGAAGGAAAGAGAATGAAGACGAGGGAGTGTTGCGTGTTAGGATAAAAGGCGAAAGAGGCGTACGTGAAAGCCTTTTTTTTGGGGGATTGCTTTTTGACTGAGCATGGTGAAAGGCGGTAGGGTTACGTGTGGCTACTGCAAAATATATAAATAAAAAAAATTAATAAAATACAGATTAAAACAATGGCAAAATTGTAATAAAATCAGACACGTGTCAATTTTCTAAGAGCTCAAATTAGACACGTGTCGTCGTTTGAATAGGCCTAACTCGTTCATATATGATATAAGACTAGATTGGACCCGGCTGTGCACGCACAGCCGGCCCTAGTCCAGTCTATAATTATATCTAATATTTGTAAAATTTTTAAAACACACTTGCCCACATTTTATGGAGCAACCAAAATGCCACATATTTTTTAGTTTGTTCAAAATGTTTTTCACGAATATTTTTTTTTCAACAATTTTTTTACCACTCTTGTGACTCATTTGTCTGTAACATTCAAACAAATTTCTCAAAATAATTTATACTCTAAATCATTCTCATTCCTTAGTTTATTTTGTAGGTGTACCATAAAATTGCCAATTTTTATACCCTATGTTTTATTAGGTTCTGATAAAAAGTGTCCCAATTTATTTTGGCGGCTCATTTTGGCTCAATATGTATACATATATTTGTACTTGTTTGAAAGGAGAAAATGACCTAACGTGTTCTGCTTTGTCAAAGTGTTCTCCTCGTATTCTCCGTTTCGCTATTCATCAGTTGTCTCCAAAATCAGGTGCGATTTTTAAAATGCAGTTCTCGAGTATGTGTACTTTTAAATTTCACTAAATCAAACACTGGACTCGGTTGTGTCTATAGTTATATTTTATAATGGTGAAAATTTTAAAACATAGTTACCTATATCTTATGGCATATATAAATATTCATCTATAAACTAAAATGGAATAATATTTAAAGATAGTGTCACACCACTCAATGTAAAGGGGAAAAAACTTTTATTTTGTCCAACAAAATAAATGGAACCAAAGGCCCAAAACAACAAAAATGATATAAAGGGAAAAAAATAGTGCATTTACTATATGAAAGATCCTTAGTTGCAATAAGTCCCATTTTTCTCATTAGTTGTAATCTTATCCCAAATCTCAATTATATATATATATATATATATATATATATATATGTAGAGCTTCACAATCGAGTAATTTGTACCGTTTGTTTGATACAACCTCACGAAACATATAACATGGTGGCCATTTATCCTTTGCTCTATTTTTTTCAGAAAGCTCACGCCTTGTGTCAACACAATGTAATATAACATTAATATTTGTAATAGAACAAATTAGCATTGCTAAAACCCGTACCCAGTAACTCGTTAAGATAGAATAAACAAAGCATGATTCGATTGTAGCAACCACTTTTAAAGATGTCCTAATGGTAGAAAAGATAAGTAAGAAGAAAATATTGGGGCTAAGGCAAAGATAAAGATGCTAGGTCAAGTCAAACATCAGCGATGAACGCCATGAAGCAAATGCAGATATTGGGTCGGGTTCAAACTCAAATTCAATCACAGAGGATACAAATGTTAGAAAACCATGCAATCTACTGCACGAAGGAGAACAATAGAAAATTGATATTTCAAACTTGGTATTCGCCCTCTTGAAAAAAAAAAAATATCAAATGTTCGTTTGAGACTCGTTCTTTTGCAAATACCCCAAAACCCCAAGGGTATCTTTTGTAATGATTAAAAAGCACAATTGAACTTAAGAATCCCACAAGGACGGAAGGAACAATAAGTATAGTTATCACCAGGTAACTACAAACATCATTATTCATTAAAAAGAATATACTCTCAATGGAACAGATCTAAAACAACATATTTTCATGATTATGAATAATCATAAGCCGCCTAATGCTATTCGCCCACATAGTAAAAGAAATGGGAAATGTTAATCCGAATGAAATGCAAGAGAAAATTGGTAACCATAACTATAAGCATTTTGGGACATTGATAAACCAAAATATCCTTTGCTTAGTTGTGTCAGCTAAAGTGCAGCAGTTTTACACATCATCAACCACTATCACAAGAAATATGTCAAGAAAGATGGATAATCTACAAATATTTCATCGAGGGCTAGAGCTACTTCACCATATTCTGACATAAAATGTACTTCTACGTGATTGCATCAACCAAAACTTACTCTTTTCGCCACTCAACTTTGCTACTTTTTTTCTCACGGTAAACATAAAGAAAATATGATAATAACCAATAATTATTTGTTAAGTTTCTTATTTAATTATAAGCCCAATCTTTTTGAACCAATGTGAATTTTGACCACAATCCATATGTTTATAAAAGGAGAAAAAAATACTTGCAACAGTATTAGAAAATATTATATAACTAAAGTTAAAGCAGAGATAGAACTTAACAATTAGAATCCTATTCTTACTCTTATTTTGGTATAGGAATTGCCAATATCTAAAATAAAGTCAAATTATCATTTTGTATTAGCACTCAGATTTATTTCATTTTCATTAACTTTGTCTACAGTATTTCCTAACATATCATAATATCCTAAACTCGTATATTTCT